GCTAGACAGCTTTCTATAATTCACATGTCCTAGCCTATTGTGTCATAATACAGAGGAGTAAGCAGAAGAGGATACTTCATTTACAACTGAGTTGGATACAATAGTACTGATCTTATATATGCCATCAGTACAATATGCATTACCAAAATACATTTTCTTAAAAGATAACACAGCTTTTCCTCCTTGGAAATCTAGCCTCATACCAGCGTCACACAGCAGGCTTCCAGAGATTAAGTTTTTAGCAATTAAGGGAACATATTTCAAATCCTTCAATGTGAGAGTCTTCCCTGAAGAAAGAGTCATCACTACAGTCCCAGTTCCAAGAACAGGAACCACAGAACGATCATCCATTGATACGTTCTCTTTGGCAGCAACATAAGAAGAGAACAAATCTCTGTTGGAGCAGACATGACAGGTAGCACCTGTATCTAACCACCAACCAAAGACTTTGCTGGGAGTTGTCACCTAAAAGAGCATAGCCACACAATTGTCAAGTTGATTAACATTGTGTACTGTTTCCTTCTTTGGTGCTTTGCAGTCTTTAGCAAAATATCATTGCTTCCTACAATTGAAGCATTTGTCGCTCTTCTTGAAATCTTTCTTCTGAACATTCAGGTTCTTCGGATTATGATTCTTCTTTTTGTTAAAAGACTTTTTTTCTTAGAAGAATTGGTACCCTTCTCAGAGTTAGTAGCCACCATGTTAGCAAACGCCTTCTGCTTAGCTAGGAGTTCATTCTTTGTGCGAGTCCGAATCTCGTCCTCGATCCGAATGAACCTCTTTAAATCAGATAAAGTCACCTGTCTTTTCCTTCTTCGGATGACCGTGGAGAACGACATCCAAGATGGAGGAAGATTGTTGACAATTACACCAGAAATGAAGGTTTGACAAAGACTGACCTTTTCATCCTTTAGCTTCATAACAAGCTTTTCAAGTTCTTTAACTTGAGGCAAAACCTTAGTATCATCTTCAAACTTGAAGTCCAGAAATTTGTCAATGAGGTGAGACTTGGAAAGCTTCTCCTCATCCTTGTATTGCTCCTCTAGAGCATTCCAGATTTCCTTTGCAGATGGTTTATTGGTGTAAGCATCTGCCAGATGATCAGCCAGACAATTAAGGAAATAACTCCTACAGAAATGATTATTTTTATCCCAAGAGGCTTCAGACTCTGAGTCTTTTTTAAAGTCAGGTTTCTCCTCAGAAACCACATAGTAGATTTTTAGGAGTTGCATCCCAAAAATCACTTTTCGCCACATAGTAGATTTTTAGGAGTTGCATCCCAAAAATCACTTTTCGACGCCATGCGTTAAAGTTAGATCTATCAAAGTTTTCTAACTAAAATCACTTTTCGACGCCATGCGTTAAAGTTAGATCTATCAAAGTTTTCTAACTTGAGACAGTCCACTCCAATAGTCCTTGCAGGATCCATTAGTAGATCTGAAATATTACTTTAAGATTGTTGGAAATTAAGGTTAAATCTGGAATTGAACAGTGAATGATGATGTACTGTTATTTTAAATTTTTTAATTAACTGCTATGCGTTTGTGAAACGCTGTGCTTAAAACAATATTTGGCCTACTCCACTGTAAGGATCACAAGGCCAAACTACTTCTAGGAATAGCAGTACAATACTCTGGTGTGCACCAACCCAGTACTGTCAAGATCTCCTCGATCTATAAGACCTTTCGGTCAAGGTAAAAGATCTCCTCGATCTCAGAACCTTACGGTTCAAAACCTTTCGATTTAAGGTTCCCGCGGGCACAGTTTCTACAACAACAGCATAACAATAACATCAATCTGACATTCATATTCCAAGTTCGCGTGGGTATTCCGATGTTCGTATTCTATACTGACGTTCGTATCCCACGCTCGCGAGAGAGTTTTCAGCTCCAACCAAGAGCTGCCCAAGGGTGCTATTTATAGGCCTCTAAGGCCAGCTCAAGAGTCATTAGCAAATATATGACTGTTACAATTCTCAATAACAATTAAGATTATAACATCAATGCATTAAATTACTCTAATTGCTGTTGTAACTACTGCATACATTAACTCTAGAATACGAGGCAATCAATGGACACGTTGCTACAAAACGCGAGGGTCACGACTCAGCAGATCAGACGAACCTCGTTTGACAAACGAACATCGTCAAACAGGCGAACCTGGTCGAACGAGTGAACATCGTCAAACAGGCGAACCTCGTATGACAAACGAACCTCGTCGATCGAGCGAACCTCATCAAACAGAGGAACCTCGTATGACAGACGGACCTCGTCAAACAAGCAAACCTCGCATGACAGACGAACCTTGTCAAACAGGTGAACCTCGTATGACAAACGAACCTCGTCGAACGAGCGAACCTTGTCAAACTACGAGAACGCTAGGTTCACCCTCGTGCGAATACGTAGCTTGTCCGCATGCTGCGAAGCAGCCTGTGAGGCAATCTTCGTGGCGACCATAGTGGCAGCCAACGTGGCGCCAAACAGCGCCACCTCGCCCCGATGCCTCTGTGTGAAGTGCGCCTAACAAAACGCCATTTAGCGTCTCAGCTCGATTAGCCTCGATCCCCGGCCCATTGGTCCACGGCCCACGACCCACGACCCACGACCCACGAGAACTTATAAGAGATTAATTCAAATAAAACACTTCTCGGCTTGTCGTTGGCAAGCCTCGAACAATGGATCTTTTGAAATACCAAAACTTTCCACTAGGCTACTAAGCATTTATGAAAAGTACTTGTAGTACGATACGACATTTTGATGCAGCCGCTGCCGACGATAGGGATCACGACGATAGGGACCAAGATGACTACGATGAATGAGTACTGAGTTAGACTTTTTTGTTACTTTTATCGACTTTTGGATTGTGTTGAGCATATAATGACCTCCGGATTATATATATACGTGAAGTTATACTTTTTTGTTACTTTTGTTGATTTTTTGTTACTTTTGTCGATTTTTTTATTGTGTTATATATATATATAGTGTGTGTGTGTGTGTGTGTGTGTAGAAACCTCGATGCTTGTAGCCAGTAGTTGGGTTTCACAAAATTGGTTAACTTTACATTGTAGTTACTAATTTGATACACGCAACTATGGAATAAATCTCAAGCAAAAAATAGGAATTGAGATTGCATAATCCTGTAAGTAAATAAATAAATGTTATTATAGCTTCTCTTTATATTAAATTTAAAAGTAATAATTTAAATTATTAAGCACCAAATATTAGTTCATGTGAGAAAGTAAAATAATCTATGGTCTATATACATATTTAGTCAATCAATCAAACGTATTAAAATTATGATGACCACAATCAAAATTATATGGTGGGTTCACATTAAATATAATTTATAAAAAATAGTACATTAAAGTCAAAATCCTTTTAACCACTATATAGATTGTCTAAAAATATTTGCATATATAAACTATACCGCTTAGGAAGAGTGATGTGCACTTAACTATGACATAATACATCTTAAGAATGACTTACTCTTTATTATCATTATTAATTGATGAATATATGCCTTACACTAAAAACACAATGAAAATGTATAAAACTACAACAGAAACACCCTCAAAGTTTTAAAATTGTAAAAAAACACCCTAAAAATTTGTAATTTACAAATATACAAAACTATTAAATATTATATTAAAATCAAGGAATTACAAAAAATTATTGAAAAATTTTAAACTTTGGAGGGGTAATTTGCAATATACTAAACTTTAAGGGTTTTTTTATAAAATTTAAATTTAATAGATTTTTAATTAGTTATGTTCTTTTCAAAAAAAAAGTTATGACTAATATTGACCATGAAAAGTATTTCCTGAGCCTATATTTTTTAATGGAGTGTGATATTTTTTACAAATTTTTAATTTTCTAGGGTTGTTAGTAAGTTTGTATATTCATTTTAGTGTTTATAGGTTAAAAATTCTCATGATGTTTTTTAAATTATGAATTTTAGAGGTTTTTTGTAATTTTTTAAACTTATAGGCTATTTCTACATATTGTAAATTGTTTATAGACTATTTATAATTCCTTTGTTTTCAATTTACTAATGAGTTTGCGATTCTCATGGTATTTTTTTGTAAAATTTAAACTTGGAGTTTTTATTTGTAATTTTTAAAACTTTAAGGGTGTTTTCTATAAATTATAAATTATGTAGGGGATATTTTCAATTCTTATATTTTTAATGTACTGTTAGGTTAGAAATTATCAGTATTTTTATCAATTTTATAATTTTGAGGGTTTTAATTTACAATTTGTAAAAAGTTTAGAGTGTTTATTGTAAATTCTATAAATTTTTGAGGTTTGTTTGTGTTATTTGTAGATTTTTAGTGTCTTTATAGGCTTGAAATTTTCAATGTGTTTTTTACAAATTTTGAATTTTTAGTGGTGTTTTTGTAATTTTCAAAACTTACAAAATGTTTTCTCCAAAGTCAAAAACTTTTTAGTTTTTAGCTAAGAAATGTTTTTCAGATTTCCCACTAAATTTAAATAAGTAAAATTTATAATTTTTAATGTGTTTTAATAAAATTTTGAATTTGCAGGGGTGCTTTTGTAATTTAAAAAACTTGGATGATATTTTTTACAAAGTCTAAAAATTTTTAGGTACTGGTGAGCATATGTTTTTTTAGATTTCTCTGCGAACTAAATAAGTAAATGATTTGAATTATATCAAACATATCTTCTTTATTGAATAACATGTTAAATATCATTATGAATAAGATAAATTATTTAATTACTAATTCAAAAAAGATAAGATAATTAAAATAAATTAGAATAATAATATAATATTAAAAAAAATTAAGAATAATATTCACTATGAATTTTTTTTTTCCGAACTTGTACTTTTAATTAAAGAGAGTATGATGTGATAAGAGAGGCACTAGAGGCACACCCTTGGGCACACTTCCAGCCACACCCCCTCATCTGCTACAGTATAGGAGGCTCCACATGGGGATTTTTTAAGATAAAGGAGCTGCAATTTCCAAGTAAACAAAGACGCAGAAATCTTCCCCAGTCCAAAATTTTTTTTTCCGGTTTGTTGCGTTCACATCGGGAAATCAAACGAACGCGTGTTCGTTTCTTCGCCCGTTACATAAAAAAAAACGAGAAAAAAAATCGGGGGAGAGAAAACAAAAAAAATCCTACCTTCTCTTTTAAATTCTTTCCTTTAAAATGAGACCCTAAATTTGAAAAGTCTCCTCTTTTTTCTTCTTGTCCCTCTTTTGGTCCAAGCTCCTAGCCTAGGGTTCCTCATCTGCAGGTGAGGTTTTTGATCTTTGATCAGACTCTTCTTTGAGATTTTAGATGGTTTAATTCCATCATTTGTAGGGGTTCTCTTGATTATTGGGCTTGGTATATGCTGCTTTGCAGTAAAGATTCAATCTTTATTTTGTGCGTTCATCAGCTGCAGGAATCTTTTATTATTTTTGTTTAAAATGGAGGAAATTTTATTTTTTGCTTATGATTCTTTGGTATTTTCCACTGACTCTGGATATTGTAGACGTAGGGTTTAACAAATTGAAAAATGGTCTGGATTAATTAATTAGAATCAATTAACTTTTTAGACTACTAGGGAGATTAATTATACCTAGGATTTTTCTTAACTTAGTGGTAACAGTAGTGAGCAATTTTTGTACTTGTGGCAATCAGCTGGTTTTGGGGAACAAGATGGCTTTGAGGTTGGACCTCAATTCCCCACCGCTACCGGCTGACGGAGCGTCGACCTTTATCAATCCACAGAATGCTTCAGCTGGGTCCAGTAAGGGATTAATTGATTCGCCTATTGATGTCGAAGCTCTCGATGATGAGGTTCAGCTGTTACCATCATCGGCTACATTCCCTCAAGTTTGTTCTTCTCTCGTAACTGTTTCTTGGTTTTGTTATACCAATATATTTGTGCTTTTGCTTTTCATGTGTTGAATACTTGTCATCCAAATCCATCTATTTGTCTATGTGTACTATTTATATTAAAACAACTGCCGCAGGTTGCAGAATTACAACACTCACACTTAATTATACATGTAGCAAGTATGAAGTCAAAATTGTTCTGTCTATAGCAACATGCATTTGCATGTGTTGTATATATGTTTTATAAATATGACTTGCATATTGTAAGTTGTGATACAATTATTTTTGTCGACAAATATCTTCATGTTGTCAAAGTTTGATGTAGTGCTTTTTGGGGCTTATTATCTATCTCTCTGCATGCTTAATTAGTTGAATTGATTTGATTATTTTTTTCTTTTATGATTGTTATAGAGGAGGAACCACCAACGTAGGAGGAACGACAGACTGACAATAGACCTTGAACAAGCCGCGGAGACCACTGCTGTGCAATCAGGTTTAGTTTATTTGTTTTCGTAAAAAGTTAAGCTCTTCCGTCATATTTAATTTGCAGTTGAATATTGCCACTGCATTTTCTGAAAAACTTGTAGGATATCTCACTTTAGCCATTCCTAGAGCAAAAAATTTAACTGTTCGGTAACAACTTCTATCTTGTTGGTTGCTTATCCTAAGTAGGTGGGGACAGAGCTGGATGCTTAAGGTTGTACATATGTTTTGATAAATTTCTTTTTATCCCTATTTGTTTGTTTGTTTGGGATTGTTGTTCGTTATCCTACTCATTAAATAGTGCTTAGTGACTAATCCTGTTTGTACTTACTTTTTTTGTTATGCTTATAGTTATAGTTGTTTCTTGATAGTTTTCAGTAATATTCACAATCTCTATTTGTTTCTTTGAATTTGCTATGTTCATTGACATACAAATTGCACTTAGATGATTATGTGTTTGTACTTTTTTTTGGCATATGCTTTCTTGGTCTGGATGACTTCAATCCTGTTTGTACTTTTGTTATTAACTTGAGTATTTAAGCAAGCTTCAAATGGATAAGACCAAATATGTATTAACTCATGAATAACTTGCTAAAGCTCAGGTACTCGGAGCGCAAAACAAGGAAACATTTGGATAATCTTAGTTGGCAGTGAATTTTTTCTTCAAAAGGAAAAGCTTTGATAAACCGTGATTTTTCCCGTTTCTAAATACTACAATTATTTTCTTTACTGTAACAAGATAGTTCATTGACCAAATAGTTACCTGTTAGCTTTTTTATGTGTTGGTATCACGACAGTTTCTCTTGAGCTTATTCTTACTTATAATTATTTCTTTAACATGAAAACTATTCTGGATGTCATATTTGGATGTGTGCCTTATGTGTTGGTGAAGCAAATTTTTGTTTTGCACACGCACTCATACACGCCCACGCGCATGCGCACGCGCCGACGCACACACCCTGTTGTCATTACAGCATAGGAAGCTTCCAGAAAGCTTGCATAGAACATGTTTGTGATGTACAATGTGTCAGCAAATATGTGCAAGTATAGAACAACGAATATCTGGTTTATTCACTCAGTTTATTGGTTGATAAAATTTATCGAGATCCTTCATCTCATTTGCACAGTAATGCTAAATATCATGATTTTATGATCTGAGTGCTGCCATAGTGTTGTCAAAATGTGTGATCGTTCATGAACTTTGAGAAAAATGGGGGAAATGTTATATATGAATATCCTCAGTTACTCTAATAATACTCATCCTTTTTGTGTACATAGGTGTCAGTGTAATTGAACCAGCAGCCATCTTATTGTCCCTAAGCAGTCCAACCAATCATGAAAGGACTTCAACAAAGAGGAAATATATTATTCAGCATCCATTAATTGACGTGGAAGAGTATGCTCAGACCAAGGTAACAAGAATATCCTCTGTTCTATTTTTCAATATTAGTTTACATTCTTTTTCCTAGGTATACCTCTCCAGCAGTGTTAAATATTTTATATCTATAGCATTTTGTTATCATTTAGAGTTTCTTGCATGTGGAAACTTATGCAATGGAAGTTCTTTTCTCAATTGTATTTGGTTTATTATGCAATAAGTGACCTTTTCATTTCTAGACTAGCTGATCTGAGCGTTTTTCAATGCTCTGCTTTTTACGCAACGTGCTAAATAGTGCATTTATTCATTTAGGTCCCAGTAGGGTGGTCATTTTGAATGCTCAGTCTCTTTCTTAGTAATTTCTGCCAAAAGCAACTGGCTTGGTTATATTTGCAAGACCATCTACAAGCTTGAGGCTTTGGTTCTAGTCTTACAAAAACTGATGAATTTTTTGTTTCAAGTTTCTCAATGAGATTTGACTGTTCCTATAACTCGGATAGTTTCAAGGGACAAGAAAAATTTGTAACGGATTCAAGAAAAAAGAATATGCAAGTTGCTTAGAAAGTAGAAGCTAATAGAACTGTATATAGGCAATATAGCATTAGGAAAAATGAGAAGTTAGGAATAGAGAAGATGAAACTATGATTGTTGAGCCAAGATAGTTACTTGGAAACAACTATTTTAGAGGCACTCTGACAGTACACCTGGCCATTTGTTTTGTGTGTCTGATACTTTTTCTCTAATAAAGAAGACAAGGTATCATTGTACGTAAAAGAAGATCTAAGGAATAACTAGAATAGACCTACAAGGGAGATGTATTAACAAGTATTGCATTACTTGATGGTCATTCAGATGTATTGTCATGTTTTTTTAACAATGTCAATACAATTAAGTAAATAGATAGCGTTCAAGAGAGCTTGATGCTTCTAATCATATGGGTTGGACTGAGAACTTGTGAAAAGATAGCTTAACACTTCTTCCACCAAACATGCTTACATTCATCTTTGGCCTACCACTACTTTATTCTTGTGTTATTTGTTCGCTTTTTAAAATTTTGGCAGGCTTGTTTCCCATGGAGAAAATGATAGGAGATGTCTTAAAATATATTGTTTTAAAAACTTAATAGAGCCTTTATAGTTGAAACGTGTACATATAATATCCATAAACGTATGTACTTTTAGAGTTGCCGTGTCAGATACTTTAGGACATTTGGACTGTTACCTGTGTTTTTTGTTCATGTGACACTGTGTCAAGGCAATGTTTGTTTTTACTTGTGTAGTACTTTAGCTTCAGCATAAACATCAGGGAATTATGTTGAAAAGTGGAGTGTAATTGCTAACTAGAATTGTCTGTCAATCTATGCTGAAAAAACTATCAAGTATCATTCATCCTTGTCGTTGAAGTTTTTCACGAAAATGGTTTAGCTACAGAACATGAACTAGCTCACTCATCATTGTACCAAATTTTATTTGTTGGCCATCAACCTACGTCAAACACCTGTCCTTAGCCTTGATTTCCCGGTGGAATGTAAAATAGTCAATTACTAAAAAAAATGATTGTTTTATCTGTTGGAAATTTGTCTGTTCACTAGAGAGATACAATTTTGATTAAGTCCATCAATCTTATGTGCTTTGCATTTGGCTAATCCGTAGCAAAATCCATGCTGGATAATTAGGGTTTTTGAAGGAGCCATCTTATTGTCTTCATCATTATGCCTGCATACTGCATCAGCCTTGATTCACATAAGTGAAACTTTTTAAGCAATCTTCTCAGCATTCAACAGCCTCCATATGTTAGTAAAATAAATATGAATCAAGTGTTGGAGACATGCTTGTGGGGGCCACAAGAGTACAAAGGGATCACGTGAGCTTGAAAATCTCGTGATTGTTGATTGCATCTTCGTGTGGGGGCCACAAGTGTTCAAGGGAGAATTCCATTGGGTTTTTGACGCGTGAAGAGATCAAGTCCAGCGGACAAATCACCTCAGCCCACCCGATTACCCAATATCATTAGCTATATAAATAGTCTGATGTTTTTTCCCTAGGTGGTGCGGAAGCAGAGGGGAAGATTTCAGCTTCTTTTTCTTTTTCTTTTCTTTGGCGGCTGCGCAGGTGTGTGCAGGAGGCGGCTTTGTTTCTTGGAGAAAAACCCAGCAAAGAGAAAGAGAAGAATAGGGATTTGTGTAGCTTTGGTGAGAGTATTTGTGTGTATTCTCCTCCCTTTATTAGTAGATCTCCCCCTCCTTGCCCCGTGGACGTAGGCAGTTTGCCGAACCACGTAAAATTGATTGTTTGAGTTTGTGGTCATTGTAATAGTTTTTAGGATCCCTCGACAGGTCAGTCCTAGAACTGATGAGAGGAAGAGCCGATATCTCACTTGGTTGAGATATCCGTTTCAGATTCTTGTTTCCTTGGTGAGACGAGAATTCTTATCGATCTTTCTCTCTTATTGTGCACCAGAAATTCTGTCGAAATTTTCGCTGCGCACAAGTGGTATCAGAGCCCAGATTCCAGATCTAGGGTTTGGTTGGAGGAGTAGATCAATTTGGAGGCTCGTTTAGGGCTTCGTTGGTGATAAAGGTGGGATCTTTTGGTAAAGACTCTATCTTTTTAGTTTTGGATCTATTATTCGTTCGTTGGTGCGTATGATGTCGGGGAAAGAAGGTGCTTCGGGTGTCGAGGGTGGTGCTTCTGGCGCGAAGACCATTCAGAGTTTGAATATCCACTCTATGAAGATAGATGTGGAGAAGTTTAATGGCACAAACAATTTTGGATTATGGAGATGCGAGGTTTTGGATGCGCTGAACGCGCAGAATTTGGAGGATACTTTGGAGTTAGATGGCAAGCCAGATGAGATTGAAGAGAAGGTTTGGAAGAAGATGAATCGAACGGCGTGTGGTGTGATTAGGTCTTGTTTGACTCAAGATCTAAAATATGATGTGATGAATGAGACTTCTGCGAAGAAGATTTGGGAGATTCTCGAAAGCAAGTATTTGACCAAGAGTGTGGAAAATCGCTTGCATTTGAAGAGGAGACTTTATCGTTTCCAGTTGAAGAAGGGAACCTCCATTAGAGATCACATGAACCACTACACAAAGCTTCTTGCGGATTTGGCGAATGTGGATGTCAAGATTGAAGATGAGGACAAGGCGTTGCTGTTGTTGAGTTCCTTGCCCGACGAGGAATATGAGACCTTCGTTCTTACTCTGATTAATGGGAAGGCATCACTTTCGTATAGTGAGGTCACCGCTGCACTTGTGAATTATCAGCTTCGAAAGAAGGATAAGGAGGCTTCGGTTGAGCCGGTAGCGGAGGCGTTGGTCGCAAGAGGGAAGGGTCCAAACCGAAAGAATTGGAAGTCACAGTCTAGAGTAGGAAAAGATCAGTGTGCTTGGTGCAAGGAGACTGGTCATTGGAAGAAAGACTGCCCAAAGCTCGACGAATGGATGAAGAATAAGCAGAAGGGAAAAGGGAAGCAACCATCATCAGAAGCAAACATCGTATCGGATGGTAATAATTCTGACTCTTCTATTTATTCGCTTTCTATCAGTCCTACAGATAGCTATTCGGAGGAATCTGAATGGATGTTGGATAGTGGTGCGACCTATCATGTGTGCCCTAGAAGGGAATGGTTCTCCAGTTTTGAGAAGCTGGTGGATAGTGGTGTGGTGTGGCGTCAGGAGGAATAACCTGTATTACTTGACTGGAGGTATAGTGACAGGTGGAGAGCTGACGACTTCTGTTGATTCGACTAGACTGCGGCATTTGGGGCTTGGCCATTCCAGTATTGATTCCTCGCATAGATTGAAAGAGGGTGCGAAGACCTGCAGTTTGAAGTCCAGTGAACATGTTGATGTGAGCAAGAAGACCGAGGTGAAGTGTGGCACCTCTATTCACCGTGCTAAGGGTCGTTCTGGAGGAGTTCACGTGGATGTTTGGGGGCCTTCCAAGGGGGCATCATTGGGAGGTAATAGAAGTTTGGTTTCCTTTGTTGGTGGCTGTTCTAGGCGTGTTTGGGTTGCAACCAAATCCCTTTTGGAGAAAGTCCCAGTAGTATCCAACAGATTGAAGATGTGTGTGATAGACAGAAAGGTGAAGGTACTCCATTCTTGTGGGAGGTACAAGATGGACCTGTTTCTGTATTGGAGCCGAGCTCACGGTATTTCGAGACACTTCGTTGGAAAGGAAATCTTGGGGCAACTAGATAAGATGACAAATTTGGAGAACCGTACCTTGCTGGAGGAGGATCGGTGTTTGTGGTCATGCAGAAGAGTTTCTGGACAGAGGCTTCGACATATTTGGGTCATCCTATTAAAGAGTTGTCAACTGCTGTGATTGGAGGTAAAACTCTATTGGAAGATAGGTCTGGTAGTGTCACTTTGGTTGAGGCTTCGATGAGGAAGCCAATTGACTCTCAGCAGGTGGAGAGTTTTGGACAGACCTTAGAGGTATCGCAGCGGGTGGAGATTGATGCTACTCCACATTGGGTGAATATTACTCCAGATCATTCTGTATTGGTTGGGATTCCAGCTGAGGTGACACAGCGTGGAAGTTATTTGGATTTATGTGCAGATGATGAGTTGGGTTTTGAATCGAGTGCAGCTGGCAGACATAGTTTGGATATGACCATTGGTTCGCCTCAGGTGGAGGTGTTTGAGGCCATTGGAGGTGCTATCAGCCGCAGAGTTGATGATATTAGAGAAGGGTTGCGAACTCTTCTACTGGTTTGAGGTCGTTCGCGGCCATTTTGGTGAACTACGTTCGACTTGATTCCTTGGGCAAGAGGATACGTAGGCAGTCTTTATGATGCAGCCGGGTTGGATTTTACTGAGGGTGAGATCGATTTGGTGAGTAGATACTGACATTTGGGTGAGTGTTCGCACTCTCATTTGGGTTCTCAACTTGTTATGGATTGAGTCTGTTGTCGTGAATTGTTTCACGGTGTACTGGACACAACAAGTGAGACGTTTGGTTTGGTTGGTATCGGCTTAGTTTTGGGAAAACTTCGCCGAGGTGGAGAATTGTTGGAGACATGCTTGTGGGGGCCACAAGAGTACAAAGGGATCACGTGAGCTTGAAAATCTCGTGATTGTTGATTGCATCTTCGTGTGGGGGCCACAAGTGTTCAAGGGAGAATTCCATTGGGTTTTTGACGCGTGAAGAGATCAAGTCCAGCGGACAAATCACCTCAGCCCACCCGATTACCCAATATCATTAGCTATATAAATAGCCTGATGTTTTTTTCCCTAGGTGGTGCGGAAGCAGAGGGGAAGATTTCGGCTTCTTTTTCTTTTTCTTTTCTTTGGCGGCTGCGCAGGTGTGTGCAGGAGGCGGCTTTGTTTCTTAGAGAAAAACCCAGCAAAGAGAAAGAGAAGAATAGGGATTTGTGTAGCTTTGGTGAGAGTATTTGTGTGAGAGAGAGATAATTGTGTGAGGGTTTAGATTGAGTGATTGTAAACCCTAGTTGTATTATCTCTCCCTCTAATAGTAGATCTCCCCCTCATTGCCCCGTGGACGTAGGCAGTTTGCCGAACCACGTAAAATTGATTGTTTGAGTTTGTGGTCATTGTAATAGTTTTTAGGATCCCTCGACAGGTCAGTCCTAGAACTGATGAGAGGAAGAGCCGATATCTCACTTGGTTGAGATATCCGCTTTAGATTCTTATTTCCTTGGTGAGACGGGAATTCTTATCGATCTTTCTCTCTTATTGTGCACCAGAAACTCTGCCGAAATTTCCGCTGCGCACAACATCAAGGTTGTGTAAATCTTTGGCTAAGAACCCAAACTTTTGTTCAGCTTGTTGTAATTTGCAGCGAACCTAATCAGGTTAGCCATCAAAGATTTAGTGCTGTAACACCTAGTCTTGATCATCCTAGTAAGATGATTTTGCCTATAGTTCTGTTGGGGTTTCCTCTCTTGAATATTTTGATTATGCGTTTATCTTGATTTATACCATAATTTAAAGGATAACTTGCATATTCTGTAATTTATCATTCTCAAAAAGACGATTCAGGAGTGATAATTGTAATAAAAGAACTGAGAGTTGATAAATGTTACTGAAATGTACATAAGAGGGGTTATCTGCAATTTATACTTTTCAAAATGTCAATCCAAGGGTGATATTTGCTAAGAAATGACGTGAGGGGTGTTAAGTGCTACTGAAAGCATAGATTGGAGAATTATCTGGATTTATCCTTTTACTCAAAATGTCAATTCAAGGGTGATGTATTGCTAATAAAAAGTTGAGATGTGATGAGTGCTACTGAAGTTGTACGTGAGAGGAGTTATGTGTTCTTTTATGTTTGCAAGTTTAACGTATGTTACCTGGGTACTTTTATCATAAAGTCACTCCCGTACCCGACACTCTATACCCGCACCTGACATGTATTGTATCCGCATGGACACTTCCTTGAATATATGCAAACATTTGTTTGAACGTGTACTCGATTATATAATACATATTTTAATTTAGAATGCTCATCATACACTTTTTGCATGTATATCCTACAGCTGATATCCATTTCCTGAAATTTGTTACACATGTGTCGGGTTCGTTTCAGCTCATATACAATTGGAAACTATGATGCTAAAGGGTTGTCTGGGTATCTAGTTTGAACACGAGTGATTTTCCAATTTATAATTTATATAATAAAAGAAATATAAAAATGTTATAGGAATTTTAGTTCTTATAAAATATGAATGTAAAAACAATGTTCATGTCATGTATATTATTAATTTCAATGCATGTGTTTAGCCGTGTAGCACTGTAGCTGGACCCTACCATTTACTAATTTACCATGTCCGGTACCCTCACCTGTACCAGTATTGGAACCTGTATCCATGTAACTTAGATTTTCAGGATAGTTCTAGTAGGTTCTTCCCTGGAGGATGTTTTAATCATGCATTAATTTTAATTCTGGCCAGAACTCTTGCGTAATCTCTAACGAAAAAAACCTATTGCAGTCTCGGAGAGAGAATGCTATGTATTCATCCCATAAAGAACCCAAAAGAGTAGTCGCCGCCGCCACCTCCGCCGCCGCCACCACCACCACCGAAGGAACCGATCTTCAACTGTCCTGTATGCATGCATCCGATAACAAATCCATGCTCAACTTTCTGTGGCCATATTTTCTGCCAGAGCTGCCTCGAGGCTTCCATTGCTGCCGCCGTCAAGAAAAAAGCAGGAAAGCTATGCCCTACTTGCCGCACTAAGCTTCCAGCAAGGAAGAGCTTTCACCGGGTTTACCTCCCTAACGCTGACTAAAGGGTAAACTGGTACTTTTTGCTTTGGATGGATGTAAGTTTGGGCATTTTGCACTTTATTTCCATTATTGTGATGCCCAAAATTTTACGGTTTATTTGTAATTTTTGTTGTGACTGGTGATATTGGATTGAAATTCCAAAGCAAAAGTTTATGTGCCTTTTGGATGTTGGCTTGGTTTCCTAATAATAATCCTGAACGGAAATGTGCACTGGGAGTGTTAAAGAGCTGCTAACATACATGGCTGTTGATTTTTTTTATTTATTTCCCTTTGAATTGGAAAGTGCCAGGATATTTTCAGACATAGTTTTAAAACTCTGTGTTTTGTTTGTTTGGCTTTGGCTGTATTGTTTAGATACTTGATGTCTTTTTTTATTAATATATTTGTTGTATCAAATGTTCATTTTATTGTTACTAGTGTTCCAGCGCACGAAATGAGTGCATGAAAAAAAAACATGTGATTCGTTAGTTTTTTTCTTTTTTTCTTTTTGATTTTAATAATAAAATAAACTTAGGATATTTACATAATATCATCACAGACAAGCGGGCGACAATAGTTTTTTTTTTCTTTTCTTTCTATTTTTGGATTTTAACAATAAAATAAACTTAGGATATTTATATAATATTACATATATGATGATGACAAGCTGGTAACAAGCTGTGCCGTTAATCCTTTCTGGATTGCAAAACCCAACCTACGAAACACATACTCAGCGGACCCTCCTGTCGCCAAATTCTTATTAATGAATTCTATACCCTCCTGAAGAACTTCACCGTATTAGCTGTAAGGAAACCAAGAATATTGAAAGCGAACGGGATGAAGCTATGGTGGTTGTCCTTCCAAGCTTGATCATGTTTGCCCACCTTTGCCTCTGTTGCTCTATTCGTTGCATGCCCAACCTTGAACTCTCCATTACCAACAGAGACACCCCTATGAGATCAACACAAGTGTGCTTCCCCCCGCTCCAATTGTAGACAAGAACGTCTGCCGGCCTTGGATTTTTCGATTGTGTTTTCTGTTTATTTTTCCTAGGGTGAGAGCATTCTGTTTATTTTTCCAAGGGTGAGGGTATTCTGTTTATTTTTCTAAGTTTGAGGGTGTTTCCATTTATTTTTTCTAAGTAGAGGGTATTTACGTCTAATTTTAGTGTGAGGATATTTTCATAGCTTTTTTTCGTCCTACCGTGAGGCATTTTCAAGATTCTAAATATGTGATTTACAAACCAGAAGGGTTTTTTCTTAAATACATACTAGTCATGAACACTGTGCAAAGCACGCATTTTTTTCTGCTACAGTAATCTGATTTTTTAATGCTACAGTAAAATTTTCTAAAATTTTTGGTCTGCTACACTCCCGCCTCTGCTACAGTTTTTTAGAATGCTGCAGTATTCCGCGTGCTACGGCAATTTTTTCAAAATTGCTACAGTATCCTGTTACTACAGTAAAAAGCTATAGTAAATGTTTCTGTAGTATTTACTGTAGCATGAACAGTGAATCTTGGGCTCTCCTATTTTTATAGAGGAGTAGATACCATATAAGATGTAGATTGTATTTTTCTTGTCCCAAAGTTGTTATCTAGATTGATGTGAAAAGGTAGTGGAAACAATGATCCAGGTTGCTATATTTCACCATCTCTTTTTTATTGCGACCTTTGGTCTACACTACTCCTCAAGTTTGATAAAAATATCTCACGTTAGTCGTAATTTTAACACCAAGTCCAACACTTAAATATCTGTATAAAAATGAAGTAGTCAGGCCTATGATTATTTTTCTGTCTGTATCAAATATGAATATGGCAGCATCAACGTTGGTTCGGTATTCAGTTACAATCTATTTAGAAATAGCGAATAGCTTATTATGTAATTTTTTATTTTCACATTTTCTCAACCACGTTACAAAACTGAAACCGATGCAATCTAGTGAAAAGATATTTGAAATGCTATTGCTATCCAAATATGAAGAACTGAAAAGAAAGAAAAGAAAGAAAAAAGGAAAAGAAATGAACCTCCTAATCAGTTAATCGGTCAATAAATAGTTGAGTAGTGACGACTACACTATATATATTTTTTTTCAAACTATTTTCAAATTAGTACACGTTAAGTGACGGGGTTCTTGATGAGTCATCAATCTTGATGACAATCCAAGTAAGAAGGACCCCACACTTTTGTGAGTTGTAGTGCAAGAGGTCTGTAGTTTATAAGCATTCATGCATTCTCATTCCCCGTCTTACCCCGAATCTCAAAGCAAAATCAAAATGCAGAGAGGGGACAACTCTACTCGCCCTGCACAAAGTTAGCTATCGTTTTCGCTTCGATTTTATTTATCCTGGTTTGGATCGGAGAGATACATTGAGTGTCTGTATACTCACATACATTTAGGTTGAAAAATTGAATTGCTTCGATTTTATGTTCTTCCTCAATCCTTACAATCACTTCAAACGATAGTGCTGTACGCATCAAAAGAGTAAATTTCACAAAAAACCTCCTGTACTTTGAGAATTCCTGACGAGACCCGCTGAACTCCCAAAATTTCTCGAACGGATCGCCTAACATCGTTCACGGCACTAGCCCTTGTTTTATTTCTCCTTCCAGTGAGCGCTTATTGACCTATTATGTTAACTATTATCGTGGGTCATCTCGGTTAAGCTAACTATATAAAGTCAGTTAACCATACTAAGTCCTTATTAATTAATTGTTTCCAATCAAAATCTTTTATTAGGTTGCGTTCGGGAACTTGGATTTGGGCTCTCAGTTGGGCTGAGATTTCAAATCAGATGATTTTGGTTACAGTTCTAGCTATCAGGCTTTCGCCTCCATGACATTTTGACCATGCATTTTGTTTCGAGTTGTTCCATGGTCTAAATTAACACAGGACTTTTGCGTAATCTCGAACAAAAAAAAAAAAAAAAACTGTGCAGCTCTTCATCTCATAAGAGGAGGCTATCACTTCCCAAAAAAAAAAAAAAAAAAAAACTGTGCAGCTCTTCATCTCATAAGAGGAGGCTATCACTTCCAAAGGAGCCAACATTCAGCTGTCCTTTATGCATGGATTCATTTACAAACCCTGTTCTACGTTCATTGGCCATATTTTCTGCCAGCGCTGCATCGAGGCTGCCAGCGCTGCATGTCTCGAGGTAGAAGCCTTGAAGCATTGCCCTGTTTGCCGTACTGAGCTCCCCCCTATGAAGAGCTTTCACCGGGTCTACCTCCCTGAGCTGATTAAAGGGCAAAACGGTAACTTTTGCTTTGGATGTGTGTAAGTTTGGGCATTTTGCAGCTAGCCTTTTTTTTTATTCCAGATTTTGATGTCCAAAGTTTGCGGTTTATTATTGAACTCTGTTTTGACTGGTGATACTGAATTGAACTCCAAAGCAAAGTTTACAGGTGGCCCTTGCAGTGACTTTTGGACGTTCACTTGTTTCCTAATAATAATCCACAGCAGAAATGTGCATGAGTTGATGTTTTTGCCTTTGAATTGGAGAGCTATGCATGTTTTTATGGATTGGGATCTGCTCTATTATAAAAAAAGGGAAAAATGCTTCCAGCCCCAAAACTAAAGAAAACATGCTTCCCCCTCCCCTCCCTCCCCTAAGACTTTTTTAACGGGTGCTTTGCTCCCAAAATGCCCCGCGATTTCTTCTAGCCCCTAAAACGAATCCCCAGGCGAAACGCCGTTTAAACCCCTCACAAAATACCCAAAATACCTCTCGATTTAAACTGCCTCGTTATGAGTTACCTCGTTGTTCGTACCCTGTCATCTCTCTTCTGTCCAAGCGAACCGACTCCAGAAACTCATTTCAAAACCCTATCCCTAAATCAATCGACTCCAAAGCGCACATCGAATCAAAGCAAAGGGATTAAAAATGACCGGCAATTCAACCCCCAAAGGAAGCCTCCATGTCACCCAGCAGTTCGAAATCTCAAAAAGAGCCCAGACAACAGCAGTGTGTACTGAATCTGATGCTGAAGTTATGATTGCTAATGTTCTAGAGGACATCGCAACCAGCCATTCTCAACCCAGAAGTATACCTCAAAATTTAAGTCTAGCCCCCGTTCAGATCTAGAGGGCAGCACCGGCACCACCGTCGCGTCCAACGATGCCACTAGAGCGCTCTTTGATCTACAGAGAGGAGAAAAAGAGAAGCTCGTGGCAGGAAAAAAAAGTAATTTTTATCATAAATTTTATGTTGTTATGATTATGGTTTAATTGATAATGCTCCTAGTCTGTTGTGAAGGTCCAAAATTACGGGTGTCTGTTAGTTGTTGAGGTTACTGTTAACTGTAGGCTGTCTAAAAATCACAATAGATAGTTGATCCCCCATCAAACACCAATGATGGAAGTTACAATCTGACAACTTCCAGAAGGCTACAATTTGAGGACTTTCACGTAGAAGGTTACAATCTGACGACCTTCACAACAACTAATGAAAGCCCCAATTCAACAGCCTTCACAATCAACATCGGAAGTTACAATCTGACGACTCTTGTATTTTCAAGGAGCCAAGACAAAGATTACAAGAGGACGATCTGTGCAAAGCTGTAGCAAAAGAGACTACAAATTGACGGTCTCTTCATATTAGAATGCAGATATCTCTCAAACCGTAAGGAATTTGGCGAAACGGAGGAAGCGAGCCGAAGCCAAGCCTTCGGCTGGGTTCGGATGGCCCCGTCTCGTCGAGATAGCCGATTTTCATATATAATTCGTCTAATTCCGACTTACGGTTTGAAAGTTATGACCTGTTCTTCGCAGCAAGTTATGTTCTGAAGTCCGTCTGCAAGACTGGACTTCGTCAGAACATTGGCCTTAGCTTGAAGCTCGCCAAGCCCGCCTAAGGTTCGCCTCTGCATTACAGAGTCAAAACGCACAGGTCGAACCAGCGTTATAACCTCAAAACGCAGAGGTTATCCTCGTGATATAACATCAAAATGTAGAGTTTTCAGGCCAACTGTGCGTTTTCAGGCCAACTGTGCGTTTACAGGCTCAACTGTGCGTTTTCAGCCTGAAACAGGCCAACTGTGCGTTTTCAGGCCAACTGTGCGTTTTCAGCCTAAAACGTCCCAACTGTGTGTTTTCAGGCCAACTGTGCGTTTTTTAGGCCAACTGTGCGTTTTCAGCCTAAAACGTCCTAACTGTGCGTCTTCAGGCCAACTGTGCGTTTTCAGGCCAACTGTGCGTTTACAGGCCCAACTGTGCGTTTTCAGGTCCAGAAACGCACAGTTCGGACCCAGAACGCTGTTTTCAGCGTTTGACTCGTTCAAG